AAAGAGTGATCTCTGGGCAAGTGGTATTCCAAGCTAACCCATTCTATGGAAAGGGGACCAAAAAATTCTCTCACAGTCCAAGTGGAGGCCACGTAGAGCTGGCAGAGATTTCACTACTACAACTATAAGATCTGGTATAAAAGCAGTGGAGCTGAGGATTGTGGGGATAAGGAGTTATCACAGGGAAAACCTTGGGACAGGCTTCAGAAAAGTGGGGAAAACTTGGGGCTCCATGGTACCGCAAGGTTGGGTTCGTGACAGCCACAGTTTAATTGACTTTGTTGTAACAGTCTCTTGAGGAACAGCTGTTAGCATCCTCACAGGAAATAAGATTAGGTAAAGTATTAAAAAATAGACTGCAAGCCAAAATTTTGCAGTGGAAAGTGTGATAGACAAAGTGGCCTACCACATATTTTCCAGTTATAATCTGTAGCCCAGTTCTTCTGTTTAGTGATGGTGAGTACCATACTTGTAAATACTCACACTGAACGAGTGACGGAAACATGATTATAATTCTTTTTTGTTTAGTTTTTATGTTGTACAGCCTCCAGGATCTGACTTTTCGTGTTCTTACAATATGTCTTCATTTTCCATGTATCCTGATAAAGATTAGGTGCATGTGATGGTTTAGTGTCCAAATGACACAGTGAGGGGCTGTGTCACTGGAGGATTCTGAGTGCACTAATACAGCTGTAGAATTTGGCCCTATGCTCTGAAAAGATCTATAGAATTCAGTTTTTTATTAGAATGTTTATTATTTATATATCTCAGTCTCTGGGAATATGAACATACATTTAAATGAACAATACTAAAGACTAAACAATATAGCCACAGAACTAAAATAGTCCCTAGTTTATCTAAACACTATTCACTGGCCTCCATCATTAAATCCCATATACATTTTAATAAATTTACTGCTTCTCACTCTTCACCCACTATTAATCAATACCACATTGACTAAAATGCCATAGTGCATGGATGCATCTCTGTATCTCACATAATATTGCATACTCTGCCAAACATGGGCTGTGGTATATAGGAAAAAAATAGATAATTCCAAAATAAGGGCCACCTAACTAAAATGTTCATTTTTACAAGTCAGCATAGAGATAGATGGTTTCTAATGTCAGAAGACTTTGATGTTATTGAGGCCATCGTTTTGAAACTTGATTGCCTAAAATTGGGCCCCTAAGTCCCAGTAGTACATGATAATGCCTAGATAGTGCAGTATATCGTGCAAAAGTAACAAGGACATGAACTGTTGTGGTTCAGCCTCTGTGCCACAGTAAGAATCATGATGGTGGGACAACTCAGCATGACAGAAAATACTCCATGTCCCTGTTGTCACCTGGGAATCCAAAATAAGTGAGGTAACAACTAATTACCAACCATTGCAGAAAGGTGTATGTTATTTGAAAGTCTGAAATAATCACAAGGTCCTTTCCCTTCATCGGAATGCTTTCCTTGCTTTCTATCCTCTCTTCCATCCAGTTGGTTTTAGTATTAGATATTAGTTTTATACAGGTTCCCATCACAGCTCATACATGACAAGGGATACCAGGGAATCCAGCTTGATGAAATGGAGATGTCAATTTACAACCTAAATTATTTCATTGTCACAGTCACTCTCTGTGACCTCAGACATGCATTAGTTGAGGATAATCAGTGCAATTTAACTTTGTCAGTAACCCAAAGAAGAAAGCTCTTAGGGGTGTCAGCACTGGACAATAGCATTGTTTACCATGTGTTAACTAATTTGATGCTAAATGCACTCAGGTGGTCTGTAGGGTTAACTACAACCAATGAACATCTTTTCAAACATGGTAGTCTTTGTCTGGAAGGAATGTTTAATATCATGCATATTAATGTGGTATATAACATGTCATTCCCTGGTGTGCAACCTGGGGGAGAAAAAGTATGACCAGTCATCTATAATGATCTGCTGGGACTTTCCGGCATGGATGAACAGTAAAAATCACAAAAAAGTCTTGCCATATACCACACCTCAGATCCTGCGAGGCTCCTGAAAGATATAACACATAATCCAATCCTATTAGGCTCTTTAAAGGAGAATGGCATTTCCTAGTTTCCTAGTTTATTAGTGGCTGGAAGGGGCCTTACAGATCATTGGGTCCCCAGCAAGATGTGTTCCATTCTCTGTCATAATAGTAGATGTTGCCATATTTTTCAGTGTGGTCTAAGCACAGGGATGAGTATCAAGGTCCTGAGGCTCTATATGAGCCTCTCCATGTGGTCCTGGCCAAGTCATTTCAACCTGTGTTTTTGACTTTGAAAGAGGGACAGTAATATTCAGTAAGGTCCTAGTTAGGGTTATTGGTGAAGTGAAATTAGCAACGTGTATACAGTGTTTTGAACATATGAATGCAACTAACATGCTGAAAATTGTTTCTACTGTTATTTTATATTTTGTAGTACTAATTCCTCTTTTTTTTCCCCCTTTTGTTCAAAAGCAGGGTTTCAGTGACAAAAATAACCATAACGTATTACTAGCTGTTTTTCAGTACTAGGTATTACCCTTATTCCCACCACATTTCCTCCAAATAGAAACAAAAGTCTTTTTTCCCCTAATTTTGTGTTTTATAATAAATTGTACAATTTTGAGACTGGTTTTTGTGAGATGAATAAAGGGCATACAAACTGCAAATTATTTCTCTTGCTACTCTGCAGCTAAAAACTGCTTGTTTCATATAATACTGGGGAGCAGAAAAACATTTGAAATTTTATCTCAGTTTCATTTGAAATTAACCTACAAAATTTGCAAGTTAAAACTTTATTCAACCAGAAGCTATTGCACTATTGGAACAATATATAGATTGGTTTTGTAATTCAGGTATTAACTGTTTCTGCGGAATCTTGCCATGGAATTCTGCTGAACAACTTGTACAGAAATATAATCAATTAATTTACTTAACAGGGTTGCCTCATAAAATAATAATCAGAATAGTGACTTGGAGCGCCACTTAAAAAAGCAACTGTTTAAATGGCTATCCTAATTAATCTGCGTGTTTTAATTTGAGTTCAGCCATTGTGTGATTATCAGGAATATTATTTTCATGAAATCAGTTGACACAAGTATGACCAAACCAGATCCTTCTGCTAACAAAGAGACAAGACCAGGTTTTCATTTATACTCATGACCTGGAAGTGCGAAGACCCCTTAAAATGTGTTTAATCCATTTTCAAGATCACTTTATGTTGCCAGTGCAGCATAAAGGGACCTTAGCATAAGCAAGGATTCAAGTCACATTTTTTTTGAAAGAGAAAAACATTAAAAAAACCAGAAGACAGGATCTGAGAGACAGTTTATGGAGCTTCACATGATAACATAAGCTCCCTTCCCCTGATGGAGCAACAGACCAAAAAAAGTGAAGCCCAATATGATACAATGTAAACATTATTTACGGTGATTTTAATGTGACATAGAGCAGAAAATGTATTCATACTAGGATATTTATGCCCTCAATTTAAAAACCTGTGGTTTGACTGTTTTAGATGATAGCAAATTTTCTGAGGCCATCACAGTACTGCTTACCTGGATTGAGCGAGGCGAGGTGAATCGTCGCTCTGCAAACCAATTCTATTCAATGGTGCAGTCAGCAAATAGTCACGTCCGCCGCCTCATGAATGAAAAAGCAGCCCATGAGCAAGAAATGGAACAAGCCAAGGAGAGCTTTAAAAATGCCTTAACAGGGATCCTCACACAATGTAAGTAACCCCTTTTCTGTCCAGTGTTGTAGTGATGGTGGTAGTGGTGGTAGTGTTTTTTGTTTATTTGGGGGTAAGTAGATACAATAATGTCACATCCTACCTTCATATCCTATTTCATACTCTATGGCAATTTGGAGGAACAAGGACCATTCCTAAGAGCTTATGTCTCAAGGTGAGCAAAGTTTCAGTAGTTTTTTTATTTATAGACTAAGACATACTATAGGTTCCATAACTCTTCAGGAAATTAACCAAATGCCTCCATGATCTGGAACAGAGATCACACTTTGTCTGGAGAGCAGTGATTTCTAATTTGTGACTGGTAGATATAAGGAATTCTAACCATCTTTTTGTAATTACAAAACACTTTTTGGGCAGTGGTTAAGTAAAAGTAAGTTATAGAAATGAACAAGTTTTAGGTAGTTATTAATAGTGCTCTGAGGCAACCCTCACAGTAAAAGAACATGCTGCACTACTGTTGGCAGCATGAGTGCTTGGCTGATATTCTGCCAGTGTTCATTTGGCAGATAAAGCGCCTTAAATATTTAGTGTTGGCAATTTTTTCTTAGCACAGAAGTATAATCAATGAAGTTACCTTAATGGGGTTTCCTCATAAAACAATAATCAGTATAATTGCCTAGGCTCTTCTTTTTTTATCTTCTCCAAATAATGTGCTTCATTTATGCAGGCTTTTAATATGTCTAACATCTTTACAAACCTGGTTTGATTCATTAAATCTCTCACCCAAACCATGGAAAAAGAGGCTAGTTTCTAATTAGCACATGCAAACCAAACAGTGAGCCATGTAATAGTCAAAAGGGTAGACCCTGCATAAACAGGCAAGGCAAAAAAATTAAGACATTTTACCAGAATGAGGTCAATCTGCATGTTTCACTTTAGTGTCCTTTTGTGCCTTTGATGTTTACATTAAAATAAACAGTAGACCTCTGTTTAAAATGTAACTTAGTAAACACTGTGGGTTATCTCCTAAAAGCTATGCTAAAAGACACAGGGAGTTGTTATCTGAGGACACATGTTCAATTGGTAAGTTTTCAAGGTCAATTAGTATTCATATTGGGATAGGAAATTCTTCTTTCACCTCTGTGACTGAAAATCAGTATGAGGAGGAATGTGAGTATCACAAATGGTCCTGCTGTTCAGTGCATACCAGGGTGTCAGTACTTATGTGTATAACAACCAAGTCTAATATTTAAAAATGACTTGTTTAGCTCTGTCAAAAAATCTCCTATTGTCAGCAATTAGAACCTCAGTTAAATACATTTAAATTAACCTAGTTCACACCAACTGTTGTGGAACATCTGTCACTTGGAAACTGAGAGCCCTGTAGTTTTGGGTCAGTCTTTCAGTCTTATTGTCTGGTTAGCTCTTATTAGGTATAGAGTTGTGATCTTCAAAACCCAGGGCTGGCCCTCAAACGTGAGACTTAGTTAGGGAAGACCGACAAACTCTTAATAATACCCTGGAGGGAGATCTCTTCCTGGCAGGTCTGTTTTTCAGGGGAAAGCCAGTGAAGAGACAGTCTGGGTAAAAGATGTCACAATCCCCATACTTACATAAATAAACACAAAGTTTATGTGCTTTCCATATGCCGCAAGGTGTTACTTTCTCAACATCACAGACACCCCCAATTATTAGCGTTAATGTGTCTTATGAACAGATAGACTGCATTTCACTTATATGCCATTTTTAATTATAAAAATGCCATTCTTATATATGTATGTATGCATATAAAGTGAAGTGCAGCCTATGTACTCTGTGTGTGTATATACAAAAACACATAAATATCCAATATATATATAAGTGAAATAACCTCAGGTATAAGCTATACCCTTTCCACAGAGAGAAGCATAAAGGAACAAATTGAAGATTACTTAAAAATATCAGCATAAGAGGGGAAAATGAGTAATGCAGTAGAGAAAGGAAAGCTGGCTAAAAGTGCACATGTTCAGAACACACACAGACTACATGTGGGTCTCAATATAAAATACTGTCCTATTAATGAGGTTTAGTGTGACCTGAACATTTCAGCTTATGGCTCAGCTACAAAAGGCCTACAGGTATTGAAGTCCCTGCTACAAATTCTACCTTCATGTACTTAGAAGATTACCAGAATTTGAGTCCGGTGCTTAGTACATGAACTAATTATCTGACTGCTTATGCCAGTGAAATCATCAAAATAAACTGTGTAATAGCTGTCACTCCACTAGTTTACTGCCTCTGCTTTATATACTACAGATGGTCATAGTTTTTCATGTGACTTTTTCAGTTATTAAAAGAATAAAGCAAGAGAGAAATGGCCATTTGCTTGCTTTTATTTTAGATTAGTAGTTTTTCCAGATGTAAAACACTTTTTGCAATACCAGGTTTTTCCTGGAGATTTGTGTTGGGAGGCACACTTGTGTCATTCCATCGGACTGATGCACCTGGCACTCCCTTCTAAATTTTCTACCCACTCCCTTTTATCGCCTCCTAAAACCATGCTTTCCTCCCTGAAGCCTATAAATCTAAAAACTTGTGTTTAATAAATGATAGCTAGAGAGATAATAAAAAATGGATTTTTTAACTACACAAAAATTGAGAATTTAACAAGCTGTGTTCACTCCAATGCTTCAGTGGTTTTGCTCCTTATAGCATAGACTTATTTTGTATGTGGTCTTATTTAGATTTTAAGCTATTTACAACAGCAAGACAGTCTCATGTAGTGTACAGGCTTAGCACAAAGGGGCCCTGATATCAGTTGTTGTCATGAAGTGCCTCCATAATACAAATAAAAACATTAGTCATTAAGTTTACTGTTCTCCGGGAGGTGGGGGGTTCTTTTTTACCTTGATATATTTTTAAAGGACCCTTATAATCTATTTAGCCATGTTGGAGTAGCATATTTATTCTGAATTTTATTGGGCAGTTTTTCACTCTTAAATTTTGAATAAGCCTCAACTGGGTCTCTGACTTGTTCCTTTGTTTTTTGCCCTCCCCATTTTCCATCTCAGATATAGATATTTTAAATACATTGCTGCCCTAAATGCCACTGAAGTAGCAGAGAACCTCTTGTAAGATGAAAGATTGCATGTATTTTCTCTGTATTTTTACTATTCCTCCTTCCTTGCTTGTATGCTGCTGTATAAAAGTGTCATCTATAGTCTCAACCTCTTGTGTTTCTGACGGCTTCTTCCTTTGTGTTTTCATCAACCTCAGGATCCTTTCTTTCTAGCATACTATGTTATCCTAGCATCACTGAAGTCAGTTGAGGTTTACTGCTGGATTCTTTGAGGCCTGGATATCACCTAAAGACTTTGCACTATTATTCTATGCTTTGTTCATTGTGGGTTACTAAATATGCACGATGTCTTCCAGTAAATGATAAGCCCGACCTATAAGTTTTCAATCCAAGGCCCCAAATTGCCCCTACTCATCTGGATCCTGCAAGTTGTTGACTCAGCTAGGAGTTCAGGGTTTTTGTAGCACCTGGTTGAATCAAGCCTTAAAGCATTTGAGTGTATGCTGAAGTCCCACTGAGGTCAATGCACATGCTTAAATGTTTTGTAGACCAGGGATGGAATTAAGGACATGTTGAATGCTGTACAGAACTAGACCATAACCTTCAATAAGGTTTCAGTGGTTATACCCACATTATGATGCCTGCACTCCTAAAAGTCAGTGTGTCTTATTCTTTATAAATAGAGGGCCAGACACTACATATATAACTTGTCTAAATGGGGATATACTTTTCTCTGTGGCTGTGGAGCACAGGAGTAGGAGCAATGGCCTCAAATTGCAGCAGAAGAAATCTAGACTAGAGATTAGGAAGAATTTCCTATGAGGGTGGTGAAACATTGAAACAGGCTAACCAAGGAGGCTTTGGAATTTCCATCCCTGGAAATTTTCAAGAGCAAGTTAGACAGACATTTGGCTGGGAAGTTTAGCAAGGGATGGTCCTGTCTTGAGCCGGGGCTGGACAAGTTGACTTCATGAAGTCTCTTCCAGCCCTACTTTTCTATAATCCTAAGTCTGAATCCTTTTAACTTGCATTGTAGAAGTTTTTGTAGGCCTTAGGCTGTATTAAGTTTAAAATAGGCCAGGTCAGCATAAGTGAGGCTCAGGGAAGTAGTATAAAAGGAAATGAGTGATGGAGGAAACCATAACCCCTGCTACATAGAGAGTAGGAAACCAGCATTGGAGGGCTACAGTTAGGTAGGCAGCTGGGCAAGGGTCAGCTACTGAGCAACATGCAAAAAGGGGAAGTCACAAGGGGTTAAAGTGCAGCAGGGGAGAAAACAGTGGCTACAGCTCAGGGTTTTAGCTACAACACGTGAGAATAAACCCAGTACTGGGCTATTTAGAAACTGCTGGCCAAGGAGAAAGCTCAAAAAGGTAGAGCCTAGCCTGCTAAAAGCCTGGCCTCTCAACCACAGAGCTCAGTCAGCCCTGACTCCTGCTGAGAACAGAACTCCTGCTGGCATGGGTTGCAAGGGAGGGGAGGGGGGGAACCCCGGCAATACAGATTGCTGAGGAAGCTGCAAAAGCCATCAGCTAAACAGCAAAAGTTTGCTGGGCCCCTGAGAGACACAGGACGGGGTTTATGAGTGAATTGTAGCTAGCAGAAGGCCAGAGAACCAGGTTGTGGCTACCAGGGTGGCAAGGAGACCACAGGGGCACCAGACGGGCACCCTGTATAAAGCAGCCTTGCCCGGGTCAGGGACATGAGGGCTTCTTGAATAGACTTTGAGCAGCCTTGTCAGGCCAGGGGTGCAGAGAACAGAGACAGGCTGAGGCCAAAAGAGTCAGAGCCTGAGCTGGAGAGGGCAACATTGGCAGGTGAAAAGTGCAGACAGCCTTCAGCCTAGTATTACCGAAGGCGAAGGCCTAAAGCCAAAATAGCTGGGCCAGAACAAGTGGTCCAGGGCTGGAGACCTGTAGCCATAATAACAGTGGGCTAAAGCCAAGAGGGATGGGGTCTCTACAGGAAGACAAAAACGTTT